TTTGCAGTCACACATCATCCTGCAAACAGCAGGATACTTCCAAGCACAGACATTTTCCTCTCTGTTCTGGAACTCCTATCACCTGTCAGGTCTTAGGCAATGTTTACTTTCCATATTTCATTGTTTCACTGTGTCAGATAGTCCTTTCCAGCACAGGCTGAAGGAACACTGAGGTCCTCACTGCCTTGACAAGAAGTGCCTGATCTCAGAACATCCTGGTGCCATCAGGAATGTACACTGGGCTGTACCAGTCCTCTGGTGTGAGGGGACACAAATGGTTTTTCATTTCTTATTGAAATACCCTCACAGACTCTGTGTAAAAACAGACAGAATACTTAAATGACATATACATTTAGCATATAGAAAGACCAGCTACTTTGACAAAAGAAAATACAGCTAAGGACAGTTTTTACTCAGATACTGCTTTTCTGAATGCTCTATTACCACATTAGAAGCCTAAATCTGCAATTGAAAACAGCTGCTATTTGCCTTACTCACTCTAGTTCTTGGACCAAAGTAAGCAGTGTGTCCTACCAGAATCTCAGTCGTTTGAAAAACATATCAGTTTCCATGAACTCTGAGATCAAGAGTTTTCTGCTGAGATTTTTCCCTGAGAAATTATAGCAGAACTGCTTGGCAATGCTCAGTAACACCTGCCTCCTACTAAGTAGGTCTTTTCTTGAGCTCAGTTTATTTTGCCTTGGAAGAAAAAAAAAAAAAAAGAAAGTGATCATTAGATCTAAACCCAAACATATTCATTCACCTGGAAGCATGGTCCAACTAATATTAATCACAAACCTTGATGCTGGGCAAAGTAACTCACATTAATCCCATCAAGAATGTGGTGCTGGTACAGTTTGCATCAGCAGAAAAGCAGATCTGTCTGTGGTAACGAGATTTATTGTGCAGGGAAAGTCCAGGAGTGTCTAAAACCAATTTAGGATAAAAACCTCAACTACTTTGGATTGTCATAGAATTGACAAGGGTGTAAGGAGAGATTTTCCTCCCACCACTTACCTGGCTGCATTGTTTGCTGCTGCACTAAATACTGAGACTGCCCATGAGGCATCTCAGCAGAGCTCTGGGGAAGTGACAGTAAGCTAAAAGGCATGGACCCTTTCTGGATAACCAAAAATCAGCTAGGAATGAGAAAGCTAAACTGCCAGTGACCAGACACAACCTGCAAGCACCTGCCTTGTTTGAGACAGGTAAAGATTGCTTTTCTTCAAGTTATAATTTCCAGCATTCAGTAAGCTCAGATGTGCTGTGTTATACTAGGAAGATATGTTTTATATTGCTTTTGCAGTGATAATATATCCTTTCTGCTTTGAAATGAGATTAGCAAAGCACAAAAAGGCAGTTGCATTTCTAAACACAGAGTAACATTTACATTACAAGCAAGGAAGTCAAAACAGGCAACAAAGCAGAAAGGGGAGTTGGAAACAGAAAATACATAGAAAATTTAGATACAGAGTTTATCCTAATGCTTACCCATATTCTAATGCTTCAAGAAGACTGAACACTTTGACATAAGCTGAAGAGCCTTTGCCAGCCAGACTGTTTGATGTTGTGTTGGCTCTGTGACAAAGCCAGTCTGTACAGGAACGCTGGCATTGTTTTCTGATCAAAGCGAGCCCTAATGGTATTAAACCTGAATCGTGGTCTGACGTGCTTTCCTCCCTCAGCTATCAGTTCTCTACTTTGCTACAAGCTTTTTCTTGAGCTGTTACATTATGACATTCTGCTGGTTTAAAGCATGCTCAGACTTTTATTTCAGCTAATAAGAACTGATATTCCCGTATTTTCTGCTATGCTGGGTGTGGAGACAGGAGGTCATGCATTCACAGAAAAGGCTGCTTGTGATGGCAATACTCAGTTTCTGTTGACTCCAAGGATATTGCAAGAGAAAAAGGAAGCAGGAGAGCTTCAACAATTTTTTGATTGAACACTTGTAGTGCAATAGTTAAATATGTCTTGTAAAACTTAAGCATGTGCTTACGTTCCTTTTATAAAAGGCAGATGTAAAGCAACTGTGGCTATAGCAGGATGCAAGTGGGCTACCCCAGTAGCCCATGCACTACCCTCACAGTGCTCTCACTTCATACTTGTCTTTTCCTTCACAGGTAGTAAAAGGGTCTTAAAATTTCAAAGAAAAGTAAACTGATTTGATATTACAACATCAAACATCAGATGCTCAGAAAATACAGCTCCATTGATGGCAACTGAAGCACAATAGATTTAAGCGACTGAATAATTCAACTCTCAGTTTGCTAGTGCTAGTTTCTCTGCTCAGATGTGACACAACCCATCTAAGACCCCTTTACAGAAGACTTACACGTAGAGCTAAGGATTTATTCATTGCTATGCTGCTTCACAAGGTCATGTTGTCCACTGCACTCACTGTTGCTGCTGCAAGTCAAATTTCTCTTTAGTTGACTATGATTGCACTTATGATGCCAACCAGAGTGAGCATGAAGAAATGTGGGAGTCAATGATGCTACAGGCTGGATATGAGCTCCTGTAGTCACATTTATCACCTGCCTTTATATCATTCAGTGTGGTCTAACACTGTCTCCTTGGAAGCAAGGAAGTCAAGCAGACTCTTCTTATAGTTTCTGGGCAGCTGTCATTAGTTTTAAATGACTTAGGCTTAGTAGATATTCACTTTATAGCACCATTGACCTGACCTAAATAGGTGAGAAGATGTATCCCTGTCAAAGCTGTAACAGGCATCAGGGATGGATGAGAAGATTTAATAGAAAACAACTTTTAGGTCTTTTTACAGAAGAACTCAAGCTGAATTTATTATTAAGTTCTTAAATGTCCAAACACATTTTATTGCCTTCTGGTTTCCAGATGCTTTCTGGATGGGTGTACATCCAGAACACAAGAATACCACAAAAATGTTACTTTTTTGTTTCCTTGCTGCAATCAGAAACAGCTGTAACAGAAGGCTATAGAAAAGTCTGATTCTACGCCTGTCTCTGTTTTTCAAAAAGAGAGAAGTTTAGATAATTTGAGTAAATTTTGCAGGGGCATCCAAACATCTAGAATTGCATTAGGGCACAAATTCCAAACTCTTGGAAGCATATATTTTACTAGCCCCATGCTCCCAATAAAAGAAGTGGAATACTCCAGTGGGTACAATTCAAGGGAGAGGACTCTTGCTTAGCCCTAATAAAAAAGGGTGGCTCTGTCAGAATCACTGGAATTCTCTGGTGCTCAGTTTCCCCATTGATCGAGAGAATCACACTCCTAAAGCAATTCGTTGGAGTGTCAAGTTAGCACCTTTACTATTTTTTTAATAACTGCATGTATTTGCAGTGATGAATTTACTATTTTTGGAGACAAATTTCACTCAGCATCCCACTGGATTCCATTCAAAATCCAATAACTGATCAGCACTTTGGGGTTTAATCAGCAAGGTGTCAAGAAGCCCTGGGACTAGCTGACTGAAAACTGAAGGCATACAATCACCTCAGAAGCTGTCCAGCACCTTGCAAGATGAGGACCACAAAGGCTTTATTTAGTATTTGCACTTCCATTTAAACCTTTTGTCTGCCTTTCCAACCTGGCTTTCCAGTCCTTGTGTTCAGCAGGTCTACAGAGCTGCCTACCTGCACACACCCTGTTCACAACACTTGCCCATATTAAGCAAGTGACACCCTATGGAAATCTGCAGGAACCTCATGGTGAAGGGCAGGAAAATGAAGCTGCTTTTAGAATTTGTCTGACTTTACAGAAAATTTAAAAACAGGACCAGGCTATCATTTTGCCAAATAATAAATTCATTAATATCAGTTCCAAGTATCTAGAAAGAATACGTAATATCTAAATAAACAAATCTAAATAAGTGAAGACAAATACTAACTCATGGGCTTATATGGAAGTTGGCTGAAACCTGCAGCAATCCTGACTCATAATAAAAATGATTTATTTAAAGACCTATTATGAACATTGCAGGAAAGGTGATAACAGACATGCACCACTTTGTTTACAGTAAAATTTCCTGTAAATTAAAGAGTTCTTATTCTTTGTTTGGTTTTGATTTGGTATTGTACCAAGTATCTGTTTATAAAAGGAAATATGACAGTACAAAGTGTACAAAGTGAATTGCAAAAGAGATTAACAGTCAAGGTGAATTTGCTTTAAATTAAGTCCTAGCGACACAGAGAGTGTATATCCCATTACTGTCCCATCCAGGTAAAGAAAGTCAGTTCAAGGCAGATCTTCCATGCACCATTTTGGAGAACTGAACTACCTGAAATTCAGGACAGAAAGCCACTCTCCAAAAAGATTTTTTAAAAAGATTCAGGTAACTAAGAGATACGGTGGGGAAAAAAAAATGTTGTGGAGAGCACAACAAAGGAAAAGTTTGATATAAAGTAGGCACTGTGTTCCAAAGCGTTAAGTATTGAGGATTTTACCCTTTTTGTGGAGCTTTCCTTCTGAAGTCATATTTATACGACACACAGTATGTCTCAACCTCAAATCATCCCATTCCACAGGCAATTTTCTGTGGACACTCCTGGATGAAGATCATGTATTCACAGTTGAAAAAGAATAATGAAAAAACGCATTATATGTTTTATCAGGAAACTAGAAAAAAAACTATTTTGTAGGAACAACTCCTTGGGTTGAATTAATGCTGGACCCAGCCTGGTATCTCTAGAGACTGGACTTCATGGGTCTCCAAAGTCTCCATCCAGGGAAAGCAAATATTTGTGGATGGAAGCACTGGATCTGGGTCATATTAATTCTCCTTCTACATCTAACCAAAGTGTACATGGAGAGTAAAATTGTGAAATCAGTAACATTATCTGAAGGCCAGGAATTACCCGTGTTCACAAGGTTTACTCCAAACAGTCTAAGATCCACTGTTTGATGTTTAGTGCTACAAAATTAATGCTGGATTTTTAAAATCATGTCGTTAATCAAACCAGTGTGCAGCCAATGCTGTGTGTACAAGTTCAGGGGTTTAGGAGGATGTTAGCACTCACCTGGGGGCATATGTTCATTCATGATGACGAGTGATGCTGGTGTAGGCCTTCTTTTCCTGATCTGTAACAGACAGAAAGCAAGGAGAGTCATTAGGGCCCATCAATTGCCACACACACAAAGCAAGGCAAAAAAATCTGTCTGGTGTCCTCCAGAGTATAGACCTGGCAAAGTTAAAAGGGAAACTACTTAAAGCACAGCAGCATTTCACTGTTTTACTGACAGCTTGTCTGGTCTGACAGCAACCAGGGTCATGCTGCTGCTTGTTCAGGGAGAACAAAGGCATGGGGAGAGCTGTCCAAAATACCTTCAGGATTTGTAATCATCTTGACTCAAGTTTTTGGATACGAGTTGCTGAAAAATATCAGTCATATCTTAATATATTGACACATAGTTTGTGAGCTTGTATGCGCACATACCAGTACTGATATGGCTCTCAAGTAATAATTAATAATATTTTGTAAGTGCATTTCAGAGTTTTGCAGGCATGCCTTCCAGTAAACTAATATTTCTAAACTGTTGCAGAGGTGTTACTACTGTTCTTTAACTAAAAATACTCCAGTATTCAAGACCTTAAAAAGAGCATTCCCAATAGACCAGATTTTACATACCGATATATAATCCTGAATTGTATACAATACTTCAGATTTTATCTGGGTGACTACTTTTGTTCCATTAAGAGTGGCTGAACTGCATGGTATTGGAATACCCTCCAATAATGCACACATTTGCACTGAAAGCCTCCAGGCCTGATGTTCTATTGAATTTAAGAGAGGGACCAGGAGCATTTAAGCTAGAAACCATTCTGACACAAAACCTCAATGTCAGTTCATTTGTTCTTTTCATTTGCTGAGCCAACATCTGTATTTAGCTAGGTTCAAATTTTGCTTTCAGAGGTGTAAATGGAAAATTACATCATCAGGGTTAATGGGTTTATTCCAGATTAGTGTAACTGTAGCTGGCTGTAGAATTTACTATTTTAATTTCATCACACACCCACAGTGAAACTGTATAGCACTTGGAATCAAACTCACAACATAAAAAAAAAAAAAGACTGCCCATAAATACCAGGCAGAAAATAGGCTACAGCATTTCAAAAGCCATGGGAATTCTAGGAAATCCTAATCCTATGGCTCTCACAGATTTCAGAAAAATACCAGAACACATTCTGCTTGAATTCATTGCAGAACTGTTCTGTAAGGTACGGACATCTCACAGCTCAGAAGTACCTGTGGACAAAATGAGGACCCACAACAATTCTTTTCTGCACCCTTCTAATATTTCACATTCAATGGTCAACTCATCGTTTTTGGAAAAGCTGCCTGTCTTTTAAGAGACACATCAGAATACTCAGGAAACCAGATAACTGTCCTAACAGTGCAAATAATTTCAAGGCTAATGGTACGGGACTTTCAAGGTTATAATACTCCCCTGGTATCATCTAAAATCAGATGTACCCAAATAGAAGCAAATGTTGAGAAGGACTTGTACAGAGAGAAATATACTAGGTCACCTAATTAAGATTTACCCAGTTTGCTCACAAGACTGTCTGTGACCTTTTTTTAGGCACATCTACACATATCTGTACCCAGTAATAGATATCTTTTCCTCCTTAGACGTCTGTACTGATATAGATATATATCAGTACATTTGACATATACATATTATTATGTCTATCTTTTGGGACTGAGTTAAAAACCTAAAATAGCATATATATTATTCTAACAAGGATATAAGTACGGCATATTTCCTCATGCATATATATATATAGGCACGTAAAACACTGTAAAAATTACTTAAAAACAAAAAAATCATGAGAAATACAGGAAGTAACTGAAATAATGACTATTGTGCAAAACATTAATTGTATTTTCTCACATTAAAATAAAAGGTAAATATGATGTCTTCTTCCCAATATTTCTGTTAGGTACCTATTATCAACTTTGTGCTTTGCTTTATGTACATATAATACACTTGATTTGTTGAGAATGTATTCATTGAATGTATTCATGTGAAATGTAAATATTAGGGTAGAAGTACAGTTACAGAGAAGGCACAACAAATATGCACTAATATAAACCTACCCGAGGTGAAGAAGCCTTGTTCTGGCTAGAGGACATATCGTTCTCCCTCTTTAAGCATATCAAACATTGCCATAACCTCCAGAGTATTTAATCTACAGTTTCACTAATATAAGCTTGAAAAGCCTTTAGGCCACAAGTATCACTTGTTCTCACCCACATTCTTGTCCCATTCCCACCCTGTTCCCTCAAAACACTGAAGGAAACTCATCTTCCTTACCTGCTCAGCTGCCTCAGGATCTATTTGGCTCTGGAACAGGGGCACAGCAAACTGTATTTTTTTGGGGCTGTTGGGCTCCATCGTGATGCTGAGGTGAGACAGAGGAGACGAGAGCCTGGAGCTGCCCTGGGTCTGTGCCTGTGCCCGGCGCCGTCCCCACAGCCAGGCTGGAGCTCCGCAGGAACAGCTGGAACTCCCGACTTAGCACGGGAATCTGCGTGAGCCCAGCAGCTCCCTTATTCCACATCCACAGAGATGCCACTGCCTTGGCTATTTGCTTTTTTTTTTTTTTTCTCCCCTCTCTTCAGCAGTCCTTCAGATCCTCTCAGCAGAAAGCTGAAAGGAACAATAAGCTAATTGTGTACCAGCTCACTTCTACATATGCCAAGCATTCACTCAGAAGCTAATTGAAAATGCAATACTAGCATTGCATGGCCTGGAGCCTTGGGATTTGAAAGAGAGGATCTCTCCACCGTACATTACTAACTGCCTGCTCAGAAGTGCAATGCAAGCTCCCTCTGAGTATTGCTGATGGGCTCTTAATTATTGATGAACACAAATCAGGAAGTTTTCAGATTTTGGGGGTGGAGGTAGCAGGAGGGGTGGATGCAAAAATTCGATCTCTGTTACAACGTGCCAGAGCCACTCTCCTCTTTTCACATATCAAACAATTCCCTTTGCTCTTTCAAATATTTTTAAATCTTATGGTTTTAGACTCTACTACTAAATCTTACAGAAAGATTTTTGGTGATGATGCTATAGAGTTGCCCAAAATTTCATGATGCTTCTCTGATGGGTTTGCACCTTAGGCTTGTTTTGCAGATTTAGACTGTGATTTCTTTTGGTGGGCTCCATTTCATGTGACTCCAGATAATACTAAGGACATCCACATCCGAGCTCTCTGGGCTCCCTTATGCTAAGTACATCAATGGGCAACTCATCCTATCCAAGTCAAGCGGGATATAGTGTTTACTCAGGATGACATTTTCTCTCCATTAACTCTAGAAAAAGGAAAGATGATTCAGACTAGTTAAATCACTTTTGGATGACTAAAATTCAGAGGCTAAATCCTACTTAAGGGTACAAAATCTGTGCCTCATTCCAAGACCAGGAAAATAATTTGGTCAATCATACCAATAGTACTCCTTTGTGAATATAATTGATTTTCACTTGTCATTTCAAATTAACTCAAAAGAAGTGTGTGAAACAATACCCAGCAATCACTGACTCAACCTACCCCTTTGAAAAACTCAGAGGAATTTGGAAATGTTCTTTGTTCAGGCCACTGAGAGCACTAAGGATTTTCACAGTTCACCACAAGCTTCTTGAGTCACTGAGCACTTTCCCACCTGTGCCAGTGGAGGAGGCAGAAAGGAGTGAGGGCTGAGGATGAGAAAAACACACTGGCCATACACACAGAACAAACCAGCAAGACAGACATTAAATACTTGTTTGGCTTTGATTTTTACAAATTAAAATCATGACACATTTTCAGAACACCAGGCTGTTTCTGAAGAGAGGAAGAACAGAAGCTAGTGGTTTGTAAAGGACCTGATAAAGCTTAGGAGGCGAGGAGACATTTGAAGTTAAGGATCCAGTTGGCTCAATCATCAAAAGTAACTCTCAATGAGGGTCAAAAATCCCCTCCTCATCCAAATCAAAGCTACTGTGAACCATAGTGGTTTCCAGCTGACAGCTAGTATCTGGCAAATTTCCAGTTTAATTTCTTATGATAGTTTAGGTGGCATTAACTTAGACTTTTGAATCACAGAAAAGTCTGACTGGTCAGGGCCCAAAACCAGGTTATTGTGGGACCTCTCAATCCGAGTCCTGATTATTTTTTGTGCTTAAGCGTTTAGTTTCATTTACCACAACAAATGAAAGATGCACAAAACACTGATATTGTGTGATTCATATGACCATTTTTAAGCCTTCACTATTCCTACAAAAGCAAAACACAGTTTGCCTTATGGAATTCCACAATTAGAAGCACAATTGTAGCAGTTGTGCTGGCACAACAAAGTCTTAGGCACTAAAGTAAGAGAGGCACACTCTGCTTTCACCAGGACAATTAGAGAGCTGTTTTCAGGACAGTCGAATTATCCAGTTTCATGCACAGATGTGCCATTATCTTCAATGACAGCTTCAGGCATACCAGGGATATGTACACACCCACATACACAGGGTTACATCTTGGGGGACATACCCAGAGATCTGAAGTTGTGTCTTTCCTCTTAAATTTTCATACCTGAAAGAAAATAATGTTTGTTTTTGCAGTCCCAGATAATGTGAGAAAAATGTTTTCCAGAAGTGTTATCATAAATAGTAATAAATGGTATATTTAAAATATTTCTCTAGAAATATATTAAAATTATATATTAAATATATTAACATTTCTCTAGAAAAAACCTTTTTTCCATAAAATAGCTATTCTAGATGTCTATGCATGGTCATGTGTTAAATTGTGCAATTGCAATTCTAATATATGTTGCTAATTACAGGAGGTATAATTGTCATTGCAAAGGCTTAATATATCTTATGTCAATGGTCAAGTAATTAAAAAACATTCAGACAGTAAAAATCGATTAAAATATTAAATGCTCAAAGGATTATAACAGTGTTTCAGCTGTAGATTGCTGGACATTGCTGTCCAATGGTATATAAGAAAAAAGCTCAACAACCTTACAAAAGGCCTAAACCAAAAAAACCACTTTTTTGGCAGCTTCTGAAGGGACCAGAACAAAACACAAGGACAAATCCTCAATGGGGCTGGCTAGGATTGGGAGAGAGGCCCCCCAACGAATGTGATGTGGAAGGATTTGCTTCCTGCAGCTTTTCTCCCCGTGCCTATTTGGAGCTGGCTACCCAACAGTCTTCACAGGCACTAATACAGAAACAGTATTTCAAAATAGTCTAAGAGGCCCACTGAGAGAGCACTCAGATATAGCATTTCAGGATGCCTACCTTGGCTCCCTCTTACACCAATTTGCAGCACTGGAAGTCTCCAGGCAAAGTGCACTGGCATTTTCTATGGACTGCATCACAGTCTGGGGAAGAGCTGAAACACTTTTAAGTATTGACACATCCTTGTAGTTCATCTTCTGTTTATAGTGCACTCCCCACAATTTCAGTTTCAGATGCCTTCATGATTCAGCTAAAACTATAATAGAATTAAAAATAATAATAACTGTCCAAGAGCTTTCCTTCTTTTATGTCACTTGCTATGTTCTGGTGTGAAGAATTGCCTTTTAAAATACCCTGCTGCAGGGATGAGCTATGGAAGCACTCATGGCATAGCTCCTGCTTGAGCTATTTCCTCTGGTGTCTTAGGAAAGGGTTTTATCTTGTTTCAGCCAAAGACAAGACTTCTGGGACTGCAATTCAAGGGTGTCTGTTCTGCACAATTTTTGTTGTGGCTCTGATCTGCCTCAGCTCCTCTGGTGTGGTCAGAGACTACTGCAGCCTCACTCTTGAGAGGAGAGCTGGAGCTCATTGTAAAACAAACCTGCTTAAGGCTTTGGCTCCTAAATTCACCAGTGCAGATGCAGAGAAACACTAAGTTACTGTACCTTGATCCAACAGGCTGCCTTTGCAGAGCAGAGGCTCAGCTGGAAAGCAGCAATTCTTTCAGTGTCTCTTAGATACAGCTTTAATCCCCATTGTGGCCACTGATATGTTGTAGTAATTATGTCAAGACAGACACGACTGGCATCATCACCAGCCCTTTATTAAAAACTTGACAAGCCTTCTCTCAGGCAACCCCACACAGCACTGACTCCTTCTCTGCAAGTTTCCTTCTATGTGACTCACTAAACCTCAAGCTGTCCCTTAACCCAGTTACCTAGCCCTGTCTGTCCCTCACACGACCACACACCCCTTCCTCCTCTCAGCACAGCCAGCAGAATCCATCCCAAACTACAGCACACACTGGATCTCAAGCTCCAACTGCAGCTTGTAGCTAGCCCACTCCTATAACACCCAAACTCATTGCATAGGCAAGGCTGTATCCACTTCTCAGCAATCAGTACAGCTGGAATTCATTGGGAAAATTGCCTTCTGCACCTTACAAATTACTCTCCTACAAGATGTGAGTGATTTAACAAAGATATCTTGATCTGTGCTTTCCCTGGGCTCTCCAGGTGACCCCTCTCCCCTGAGAGGGCAGCCCCAGCAGCATCAGAGGGAGAAATGCTGCAGAGCTCGTTGGCTTTCTGCTACAGCCAAAAGGGCCTCAATGTGCCCCTTCCTTCTGCCTTTTTCTAACAAACTGACAAACAGCTTCTTCTCTGCCTTTGTCCAGTCAGGGCATCAGCTTCACAGCTCTTGGTGTTGGCCATGAGCAGAAAGAGAAGGAGAAAGCAGAAATACTGGACATGGCCTTTGCTGTGCACACCAGAGCTGTTCATGGACAGGTTTTCCCTTTGGGGCTCTGCACTGTGCCCCATTCGTGGGTGCTAAAACTAGACACAAGCCTTCCAAGAATAAAAAATTACATATTCAAAATGACACTGAACTTTTCTTTTCAAAACAGCATTGCAAAGAGGGTAACTCCCACTGAGCTGCTGGAAACACAGACTGCTATTTATATATAGAAAATGCAAAGAATTTAAAATTTGCAAGGATGGGAGAATGCAGAGCAGATCTCATCTGCCTCATGAGTAAGTACCAAGTGCTGCCACAGGCAGGTCATGAAGAAGAAGAGAAAGTCTTTCTGAGCAGTGACAGAGTCAGTGGGACATTCAGTGAGAGTTGTTGGCCTGGTAACAGCCTAACTCAAATTTCCATTGCCAGTTCTTACCCATGAAATATCAGGTTTGGACTTGTTTCTGTACTAACTATATATGTGGATACATAAATCCTAGATAAGTAAAAAGATACAGCTAATTCTGTTTATACAAGCTCTTTAGTTAGGATAATAATACCTCAGTAGTATGGTTTTAATCAGAATCAGTTTAAAGTTACTTTATCTGGGCATAGAAGAACTTACACTGTCTATTCTTTCTTCCTCTGTTCTGAAATTCACAGCTCTCCACACTTTGAAGTAATGTACAAACATTTACTGCTAGATCCTATCCACTACCATCAACAGAATACACACATCCAGCATAGGAAATGAGCTGGATTAATGGGACATGACCTGAGTAGACAGTCAAAAGATTCTTGCCTAATATGGACTATAGTTCAATAGTGCAGAAAGCAAAACTCTGGTACTGGTTTTAGGAGGGTATTTCAGTGGGAAAGATGCTA